CTCGTGGGAACAAGATGGAAATGAACAAAAAAACCAATGATGAGGTGTCCGAGAAGGACGTAGCGACGATGGTGTCCGCGAAGGACGGTGTGCGAAGGGAGTCCGAGAAGGACGGAGTTACTTTGAAGGAGTGCGCGGTTGTATTGACTAGGAGTGACCGGACTGACTTTGAAGAGGCTGGCCCCAGCCGGGAACAAATCTCGGACCTGGAACACTGGGCCAGAAGGACAAGATCCAGGTCTGTTCGCGGGATCGACTGCGGTTCTTCGCGGGCGAGCTCGTGCACAGGCCTGTCTGATATGGACCTGGACGAGACATTGCCACCAGGGCGCAAAAGGCGTCTCTCGGAGGCCTACTCGGATGAGACATCGGCGGCGGAAAACCGCCCACTTAAGGAGGGGAGAAAGAAGGCCGCCGGCCCCAAGTCACGGGTGTCGGCGCAAAAAAGAAAAGAGCTGGAAGCCTTCCGCTACGAATTCTTCGACGGTGGAAAGGATGCGCGGAATGAGGAGGCTGCAGAGATCATCCGCAGGGTTCGCCTGTCGGTTCTCGACCATACGGCGGTCATAGAAGACGCCATCCGGAGGTCCGGAAACCTGAAGGGGACCTTCGTTAAGACAATGAAGGAAGGGCTGACCGGGATTAATAGAGTAATGAGCACCCTTGAGAGTGACTCTATCCCGAGTTCGGTCACGTCCCTGATGGTCCGGAACCTCCGGCTCCAACAAGAAGTAGGCGAACTCCGCAAGGAGGTGGCCGAGCTCCGCGCCGCAAAATCGGCCGGGCCGGCGAAGAAGGCGGATGCACCCCAAAGTGAGGAGCTGGGCACCTTTAGGGCCCAAATTATGAGGGACGTCGGCAGCACTGTCCGCACAATTGTGGGGAAAATGATGACCCAATTCATGGAGGAAGTCCGGGGAACGATTGACAAATCCCCCTTCCCAGGGCAGTAGAAACCGCACCAGCGGAGCAGCCCCAAGACGCGGTGGCCTCCCAGCCTGCCCCAGAAGTAGGAGGTCGGGGTTCTGACCCCCCAGGCCAAAAAGGCGGGTCCAAGGCCAAGACCAAGAGGGCGAGCAAAACTGCGCCCCAGGGACAACCCCCAGCAGTGGAATCCCCGGCTATTCCAGCCACACAACCCACCGCCGGCAGCTCGTCATGGGCTAAGGTGGTGAGGGGAAGTCGGGGGAAGATGACCACGGTCCCCCAAAACCAGGAGACGGCCACCGCCACTCAGGCGGCAAAGAAGGCTAAGGAGACGCCCAAAAAGAAGATGAGTCCGCCGCTCCCTGCAAAGTTACGGCTGCCCCGCTCTGCGGCGGTGGTCATAACCATCGGGGAAGCGGCTGAAAAAGAGGGCGTCACTTACGCCAACATCCTACGCGAGGCCAAGGACAAAATAGATCTCCGCCCCCTCGGAATAGACGGCTTGCGGCTTCGACCCGCGATTACCGGGGGGCGGATACTTGAAGTCTCCGGCACTTCCAACGCCGAGAGGGCCGATGCGCTTGCGTCCAAACTCCGGGCCCTAATCCCGGAAGATGTGGCCACGGTCTCCAGGCCTTCAAAGACCGCGGAAATGCGAGTCATGGGCCTGGACGACTCATTGACGCCGGAGGACATCGCCGCCGCCGTTGCGCATGACGGAGAGTGCAATGCCGAGGAGGTAAGGGTCGGCGAAATAAGGAGGAGCAGCCCTAAAGCCTTGGGGTCTTGCTGGGTCCGCGGCCCGGTGGGGGCCGTGAAAAAGGTCACCACTGAGGGGCATATCCGGCTTGGCTGGGTGTCCGCAAAGGTGGAGCTGCTGCGGCAAAGACCGCTGCGGTGCTTCCGGTGCCTACAGAGTGGGCACCCTAGAAGTCAGTGCACGCAGGAAGAAGACCGCAGCGGTCTATGCTACCGATGCGGGGAAGCCGGACATAAAGTCGCCGGGTGTGCCGCGACCCCAAGTTGCGCACTCTGCGCGTCGACGGGCCGTCGGGCGGACCACTGGGTGGGGAGCAAGATGTGCACCCCGCCCAGAAGCAAAGGAGGGAAGCGGCCCACCTCACAGGCTCCAGGCCGTACGAGTGGTACAGAGGGGATGGACATCAACTCCCCTCCTAGCGATCGAGGAGGCAGGGGCGGCGCAAGTTGCCCCTAGATCGCTACCGGGCCGGGGTGACGACCGCGGGGGCGGTCCCACTCCACCGAACTAGGCCCGAAGAAGTCGCGCGCATGTCCCCGCGCGCCTTCCCCAGGGAAGAAGGGGGAAGTGGTGGGTTCCGGTAGGGAACCCGCAGAGATGGGGCCCGCTACTAGGTGGGCCACCGCCGTCGGAGTTGCGGTCGACTATAATCTGATCCCGCGACTCCGGCACATGGCGTTGGATGAGGGACATCTTGGAGTTTTTAGTGAGTAGGAGTCTCACAGTACCCGCGGGCTTCCCCCGGGGCCGGCGGGTCTCCATGACGGATTTTCTCCAAGTGAAAAAAAAAAAAAAAAAAAAAAAAAAAAAAAAAAAAAGGTTAGGTTAGGTTAGGTTGAATAGGAGACGGGGCGTGTGGTCGGGCAACCTCCTAGTATGGGCCTGCCATTGGGAGGCTTCCCCATCCTCGTGGATACGTCCGCGGGGAACGGTGGCCGAGCAATGGTTTGGTTCTGGTACGCCCCGGGCGGGATAGTAGACGTTCCTTCGGGATACTGCTACTATGTCGGCCAGTAGCCCGGCGAGTAGGGGGTGGGCGCTGTTTAACGGCGCCCGTCCAATTATGGTGGCGTGCCACCTAGGCCGATTTCGGCGAGAGGGCGACGCGAGCGGCTAGGACAATGGGTCCTGACCCCAACCGGGACCCGTCCAGGCCGTGAGCGAAGCATTCGGGTCGGGTCCGGTGGTGCTTTGCGCATAGCCGGACTGACTCACACCGCAAACTTGCACTGGGTGTTGATGACAGGAGGTCGTCCACCTAGTGTGAGAGCGGGGGCCCTGGGTTCGCCCGGGGCTGCGAGGAGCCAACCTCTATAAAAAACCACTCGCGGTCGGCGTCAGAGTTGATGAGGAGGACGGAGTTGCGGGCAGGAGTGCCCGTAGACGACGGAGTTATCTCTGGCCAAGACTGCGAGTGTACCTTCATACCGTAAACTTGCACTGGGTGTGATGACAGGAGGTCGTCCGCCCGGTGTGGGAGCGGGGGCCCTGGGTTCGCTCGGGGCTGCGAGGAGTCAACCTCTATAAAAAACCTCTCGCGGTCGGAGTCAGAGTCATGAGGAGGACGGAGTTGCGGGCAGGAGTGCCCGTAGACGACGGAGTTGTCTCTGGCGAAGACTGCGAGTGTATCTTCATACCGTAAACTTGCACTGGGTGTGATGACAGTGGTCGTCCGCCCAGTGTGAGAACGGGGGCCCGGGGTTCGCCCGGGGCTGCGAGGAGACAACCTCTATAAAAAACCTCTGGCGGTCGGCGCGGCTGTCGACGAGGAGGACGTCGTCCGGGCGAGGAGCGCCCGCAGACGACGGAGTCGACGCGGCGTGAGAAGACAGCGGGAGGATCGTTGCTAGGCGTCTTCGGACGCTGGGCAACACTCGAGGAGGCAACACTACCGGCGCCTACGGTTTAACCGTGTGGCGCGGTAGTGCTTATGGAGGATACGGTCCCGGAGGAGCATCGCGAATCTGGGTAAGTATTCACGAGTAGGCAGCTCCCGATTTTAACATGTTAAGATCGGGAGTCCTATCTGCGGAGGACATCCCCGGGCTGCGCCTTGGTGCGGCTTGGTGGGCAGACTGCTGACGGCGCAGGGAGTACGTCGCCGAAGGTAAGTATGCGTGTGTCGCCCCGACCCGTCGGGGCACCGGGCGGAGCGGTGCCTTCAGGACCGCTTCCGTCCGGCGGGAAGGCTATACGCGGTCGCGGCTGCGGTGCGCTTCTAGCGCAACGCAGCGGCGATCGCGGCCTTTGCGTGGGGGGCGGAAGGTGTATTTTCACCCTAAGCCCCAACTTGGACACTCAGAGCGGAGGATGTAGGGGCATCCGAAGTTCCCAGGAGGCGAGTGATCCGTGGAGTGTGGGCGTGGAGTGGTCCCCGCGCCCAACTTCGGCGGCTCCTTCACTGGAGACCCGCGGCCGGAGTGCGGTTGAATGCAAATGCGAACCCGCACGAAGGCGTCTTTCGTGGTTTTGGAGGAACACCGAGGGGTTTTGGTGGGTCGGATTCGTCCAGTCCCACAGTATTCGTCCGCTCCCCTTCATAAAGGCGGACGTTTCGGTATTGAAACCTTTCCCCTCGTTAAAAAAAAAAAAAAAAAAGGTTGTACTTGGGGCGTGTGGTCGGGCAACCTCCTAGTATGGGCCTGCCATTGGGAGGCTTCCCCATCCTCGTGGATACGTCCGCGGGGAACGGTGGCCGAGCAATGGTTTGGTTCTGGTACGCCCCGGGCGGGATAGTAGACGTTCCTTCGGGATACTGCTACTATGTCGGCCAGTAGCCCGGCGAGTAGGGGGTGGGCGCTGTTTAACGGCGCCCGTCCAATTATGGTGGCGTGCCACCTAGGCCGATTTCGGCGAGAGGGCAACGCGAGCGGCTAGGACAATGGGTCCTGACCCCAACCGGGACCCGTCCAGGCCGTGAGCGAAGCATTCGGGTCGGGTCCGGTGGTGCCTTGCGCATAGCCGGACTGACTCACACCGCAAACTTGCACTGGGTGTTGATGACAGGAGGTCGTCCACTTAGTGTGAGAGCGGGGGTCCTGGGTTCGCCCGGGGCTGCGAGGAGCCAACCTCTATAAAAAACCGCTCGCGGTCGGGTCAGAGTTATGAGGAGGACGGAGTTGCGGGCAGGAGTGCCCGTAGACGACGGAGTTGTCTCTGGCCAAGACTGCGAGTGTATCATCATACCGTAAACTTGCACCGGGTGTGATGACAGGAGGTCGTCCGCTCGGTGTGGGAGCGGGGGCCCTGGGTTCGCTCGGGGCTGCGAGGAGACAACCTCTATAAAAAACCTCTCGCGGTCGGAGTCAGAGTCATGAGGAGGACGGAGTTGCGGGCAGGAGTGCCCGTAGATGACGGAGTTGTCTCTGGCCAAGACTGCGAGTGTATCTTCATACCGTAAACTTGCACTGGGTGTGATGACAGTGGTCGTCCGCCCAGTGTGAGAACGGGGGCCCTGGGTTCGCTCGGGGTTGCGAGGAGACAACCTCTATAAAAAACCTCTGGCGGTCGGCGCGGCTGTCGACGAGGAGGACGTCGTCCGGGCGAGGAGCGCCCGCAGACGACGGAGTCGACGCGGCGTGAGAAGACAGCGGGAGGATCGTTGCTAGGCGTCTTCGGACGCTGGGCAACATTCGAGGAGGCAACACTACCGGCGCCTACGGTTTAACCGTGTGGCGCGGTAGTGCTTACGGAGGATACGGTCCCGGAGGCGCATCGCGAATCTGGGTAAGTATTCACGAGTAGGCAGCTCCCGATTTTAACATGTTAAGATCGGGAGTCCTATCTGCGGAGGACATCCCCGGGCTGCGCCTTGGTGCGGTTTGGTGGGCAGACTGCTGACGGCGCAGGGAGTACGTCGCCGAAGGTAAGTATGCGTGTGTCGCCCCGACCCGTCGGGGCACCGGGCGGAGCGGTGCCTTCAGGACCGCTTCCGTCCGGCGGGAAGGCTATACGCGGTCGCGGCTGCGGTGCGCTTCTAGCGCAACGCAGCGGCGATCGCGGCCTTTGCGTGGGGGGCGGAAGGTGTATTTTTCACCCGAAGCCCCAACTTGGACACTCGGAGCGGAGGATGTAGGGGCATCCGAAGTTCCCAGGAGGCGAGTGATCCGTGGAGTGTGGGCGTGGAGTGGTCCCCGCGCCCAACTTCGGCGGCTCCTTCACTGGAGACCCGCGGCCGGAGTGCGGTCGAATGCAAATGCGAACCCGCACGAAGGCGTCTTTCGTGGTTCATGGAGGAACACCGAGGGGTTTTGGTGGGTCGGATTCGTCCAGTCCCACAGTATTCGTCCGCTCCCCTTCATAAAGGCGGACGTTTCGGTATTGAAACCTTTCCCCTCGTTAAAAAAAAAAAAAAAAAAAAAAGGTTAGGTTGATATGGGTATTTTTTTTTTTTTTTTTTTTTTTTTTTTGTAAATAGTTAGGTTTAGTTTGTATATTTGTAAATAGTTTTCTTCTTCGTTTTCTTTTGTTGTCTTCGTTTTATATTAGTTCTTTTTGTTGTTTTTGTCTGTCCTTTTCTGTCCTTTCTTCCTTTCTATAGTTTTGTTTTGTTCTTCTTTTTCCTTTTCTGTTTTGATGCGGGACCAAACCCGGGTAAAAAAGGAACAAAGATGAAAATGGCCAGCAGGAAAAACGAAATACTCCAGGGAGGTACCACCCGTAAATCGGGTGGAGAATCCTCCACCGTCGCACCGGGCAAGCCGGGGGCGGTCAGCCCCATGTATCTGGAGGGGGCAACTGAGGCCAGAGGAAGGGGGTTGAAAGAGGAGAGGCGAGAGTGGTGGTTGTGAGGAGCGTGGAGCTGGATAGGAGAAGCAGGAGTGAGTGCGACGAGGCGGAGTACTACTTGGAGCGCTCCGACTCGTCGCTCTCATTCTACTCGGAGGATGACGCTGTAGGAGGAAGCGGGCCCAGCACATCTCGGGCCTCGCTGCGCAAAAGGAGGATGATAGAGGTTGACGCAGACCCGGATTTGGAGTTTGATGAGGAGGTCGAAGTTGTCGAAGTCGTTGCGACTCCAACTTCAAAAAAAGGAAAGACGCCCATTAAGGGCAAATACACGGACTCGACACAGGCAAAGGCCCAATTGGCCGCCGCCATGGATTGTGACATCCAGAGGGAGGCAGCAGTCGCAGTAGCGAATGCTCCGAAACCGTCGGCGCGCCCTACCACCCGCAGGCCCTCGACTGAGGACTCGAAGCGCGCCGACGTGTTGGGATCGGATATTCGGGAGTGTGCCCTGAGAGTCCTCGAAGCCGTGAGGAAATCCGGCCACTTGAAGGGCACAGTGGTCAAAGAGATAAAGGACGCCGTCGCTACCATCCGCGCGGCGTCTGAATCACTTGTAGACAGGACCGCATCATCAGAGTGTGCAGCGTTGCGCCGGGAAAACTCCCGTTTGGCCAACGAACTGGTGGACATGCGGGAAATGTTGACGGGAATGAGGCAGGAAACCGCCAAATATTACTTGGAGCTGAAGACCCTCAAGAACACCATGGGGGCTTCCGCCAAGGGCATGGACGAGCTTGCAATGCTCAAGGCGGAAAGAGCGGAATGGGAGAAGGAAATGGCAGCTACACGAAGTTCCTTCCAAGATCTCCTGAAGAGAAGCACGGAGGATCGGCTAGCGCTTGCGACAGCACAAAGGGAGTTGGCAGATGCCAAAGCCGCATTGGCGAAATCGTCGGAGTCTGTGGCTATGGAGATGACGCCCGAAGCTCAAGCTGTTAGTCCGAGTGAAGCACCGACTATCAGCGAGAGCGTCGAGGCGCGAATTGTGAGACAAATCGGGGACATCTTCAATGCCCGGTTTGAGAAAATCGAGGAGCTTGTGGGCAGGCAAAACATCTCGCCGCCCAAACGCGCCACGGCCGCACCCCGAACACCTGGGGCGGCTAAACAGGGAGGTTCCTCGGCGCCTGTAGCCGGCACTAGTGGGGCGGGATTGAGTGCTTCTCAGCCGCTTCCCACTACCAAGGAGCAATGGACGACAGTCGTCCGGCGTGGGAAGCGCGCCAAGGGGGCGAAGGGCAAGGAGTCAGCCCCAGCCACCCAGGCGCCCACTGGAGGGGCGAGACCAGCCCAAAAGGAGGCAACACCGAAGGCGACTAATGAGGCCGCCAAGAAAAGGAACGCGAGAAGGAGGCAGTTCCGACCTCCGCGATCCTCGGCGATAGTGCTCACGCTACAGCCGGGGGCCGCGGAGGCAGGATCAAGTTACAGCTCGGTGCTCCGAGAGGCCCAACAAAACATCCGGTTGGATGCCCTCGGAATCACCGAGCTGGGCTTTAGACTGGCGGTAACAGGGTCCCGCATACTTGAAGTGCCGGGACCAGTGGAGGAAAGCGGCGGAAAGGCAGATGCCCTCGCCGCCAAGCTGTCGGAGATCCTTCCGGCAGATGTAGTTGCCGTCACCAGGCCGGTCAAGTCCGCGGAGTTCCGCGTCTTGGACCTGGACGACGCCACTGCCACAGCAGACGTGGTGGCAGCCGTAGTGCGTGAGGGAGACTGCGCCGAGGCCTCCGTAAAAACGGGGGAGATCCGGCGCTCTCCCTCAGGGAGTGGCTCTGTCTGGGTCCGAGCCCCGATAGGGGCAGTGAAGCGGCTGGTGGATGCCGGCAAACTCAGGGTGGGGTGGACGATGGCACGGGTGCGGTCCTTGGATCCCCGGCCGTTGCGGTGCTACCGCTGTCTGCTCACGGGTCACGTGGGCCAGCGGTGCACCGCCAAGGAGAACCGCGGCGGAGCTTGCTTCCGTTGCGGACAAGACGGCCATAAGGCCGCAACGTGCACCGCCCCTTCGCCGCATTGCCCGTATTGTGCGGCGGCGAAGAGGAAGGCGGACCACAAGATTGGGAGCACCAAAGGGTGCCGTCCGCCCAAACAGGCGGCGAGAGTGGAGGCGATGGAGGCCGAGTCCGGCCCGTCACCTCCCACCACGGGCCTCGCGGCAGCCGATGCGGGGGCGTCGGCTGTCACCTAAGGCGGTGTGAGGCCAGGAGTAGGCGCGCGTGGTGTCCGCGCGCGCCACTCAGGAGATGGGCTGAAGAGCCCGCGCTGCCGGGGTTTACGGTTGAATGTCTCGATCCCGTAACCCCGGCACCATAGCGCTCGGAGGACACCAAGGGGTTTTAGCCGGTAGGAGTCCGGCAGTACCCCCACGCTTCCCCCGGGGCGTGCGGGTCTCCATGACGGATTTCCCCTTGTAAAAAAAAAAAAAAGGTTAGGTTAGGTTGGGCGTGGGTCGGGCAACCTCCTAGTATGGGCCTGCCATTGGGAGGCTTCCCCATCCTCGTGGATACGTCCGCGGGGAACGGTGGCCGAGCAATGGTTTGGTTCTGGTACGCCCCGGGCGGGATAGTAGACGTTCCTTCGGGATACTGCTACTATGTCGGCCAGTAGCCCGGCGAGTAGGGGGTGGGCGCTGTTTAACGGCGCCCGTCCAAATATGGTGGCGTGCCACCTAGGCCGATTTCGGCGAGAGGGCAACGCGAGCGGCTAGGACAATGGGTCCTGACCCCAACCGGGACCCGTCCAGGCCGTGAGCGAAGCATTCGGGTCGGGTCCGGTGGTGCCTTGCGCATAGCCGGACTGACTCACACCGCAAACTTGCACTGGGTGTTGATGACAGGAGGTCGTCCACTTAGTGTGAGAGCGGGGGTCCTGGGTTCGCCCGGGGCTGCGAGGAGCCAACCTCTATAAAAAACCGCTCGCGGTCGGGTCAGAGTTATGAGGAGGACGGAGTTGCGGGCAGGAGTGCCCGTAGACGACGGAGTTGTCTCTGGCCAAGACTGCGAGTGTATCATCATACCGTAAACTTGCACCGGGTGTGATGACAGGAGGTCGTCCGCTCGGTGTGGGAGCGGGGGCCCTGGGTTCGCTCGGGGCTGCGAGGAGACAACCTCTATAAAAAACCTCTCGCGGTCGGAGTCAGAGTCATGAGGAGGACGGAGTTGCGGGCAGGAGTGCCCGTAGATGACGGAGTTGTCTCTGGCCAAGACTGCGAGTGTATCTTCATACCGTAAACTTGCACTGGGTGTGATGACAGTGGTCGTCCGCCCAGTGTGAGAACGGGGGCCCTGGGTTCGCTCGGGGTTGCGAGGAGACAACCTCTATAAAAAACCTCTGGCGGTCGGCGCGGCTGTCGACGAGGAGGACGTCGTCCGGGCGAGGAGCGCCCGCAGACGACGGAGTCGACGCGGCGTGAGAAGACAGCGGGAGGATCGTTGCTAGGCGTCTTCGGACGCTGGGCAACATTCGAGGAGGCAACACTACCGGCGCCTACGGTTTAACCGTGTGGCGCGGTAGTGCTTACGGAGGATACGGTCCCGGAGGCGCATCGCGAATCTGGGTAAGTATTCACGAGTAGGCAGCTCCCGATTTTAACATGTTAAGATCGGGAGTCCTATCTGCGGAGGACATCCCCGGGCTGCGCCTTGGTGCGGTTTGGTGGGCAGACTGCTGACGGCGCAGGGAGTACGTCGCCGAAGGTAAGTATGCGTGTGTCGCCCCGACCCGTCGGGGCACCGGGCGGAGCGGTGCCTTCAGGACCGCTTCCGTCCGGCGGGACGGCTACGCGGTCGCGGCTGCGGTGCGCTTCTAGCGCAACGCAGCGGCGATCGCGGCCTTTGCGTGGGGGGCGGAAGGTGTATTTTTCACCCGAAGCCCCAACTTGGACACTCGGAGCGGAGGATGTAGGGGCATCCGAAGTTCCCAGGAGGCGAGTGATCCGTGGAGTGTGGGCGTGGAGTGGTCCCCGCGCCCAACTTCGGCGGCTCCTTCACTGGAGACCCGCGGCCGGAGTGCGGTCGAATGCAAATGCGAACCCGCACGAAGGCGTCTTTCGTGGTTCATGGAGGAACACCGAGGGGTTTTGGTGGGTCGGATTCGTCCAGTCCCACAGTATTCGTCCGCTCCCCTTCATAAAGGCGGACGTTTCGGTATTGAAACCTTTCCCCTCGTTAAAAAAAAAAAAAAAAAGGTTGAATAGGAGACGGGGCGTGTGTCGGGCAACCTCCAAGTATGGGCCTGCCATTGGGAGGCTTCCCCATCCTCGTGGATACGTCCGCGGGGAACGGTGGCCGAGCAATGGTTTGGTTCTGGTACGCCCTGGGCGGGATAGTAGACGTTCCTTCGGGATACTGCTACTATGTCGGCCGATAGTCCGGCGAGTAGGTTAGGGGGCGGGTGTCGTATTCGGCGCTCGTCCAATTCTGTAAATAGTTAGGTTAAGTTATTTATTTGTATATAGTTAGGTTAGTGTCTTCTAGTTTTGTCTTCTTTTCTTTTGTCTTCGTTTTATTTTGTTTCTTTTAGTTGTTTATTTGTCTATTCTTTTCTGTCCTTTCATCTTTTCTATAGTTTTATTTTGTTCTTCGTTTTCCTTTTCTGTTTTGTGTGCGGGACCAGACCCGGGTAAAAAAGGATCAAAAGATGAAAATGGCCGACCGTATAAACAAAATACTCCAGGGAGGTACCACCCGGAAATCGGGTGGAGAATCCTCCACCGTCGCACCGGGCAAGCCGGGGGCGGTCAGCCCCGTGTATCTGGAGGGGGCAACCGAGGCCAGAGGAGAGGGAGAGATGGGGAAAAAGAGAGAGGTGAAGGTGGTTGTGGAGAGAGATAGGGAGTTAGATCGGAGGAGTGTAAGTGAATGTGATGAGATGGAATATTACATGGAGCGATCGGATTCGGCGCTTTCATTGTACTCGGAGGATGACGCTGTAGGAGGAAGCGGGCCCAGCACATCCCGGGCCTCGCTACGCAAAAGAAGGATGGTCGAACTGGACAGAGACCAGGACTTGGAAACTGATGGGGTGGAAGTTGTCGAAGTCATTAAGACTCCAACTGTTAAGACCAGGAAGACGCCCATAAAGGGCTACACGGAAATGACACAGGCGCTGGCTGATCTGACTGCTGCTGCTGTTCAATATGATTCGCAGAGGGAGACAGCAGCCGCGGTTAAAAAAGCGGGTGCTCTGAAACCGGCGGCGCGCCCTACCACCCGCAGACCCTCAGATGAGGATGCGCAGCGCGCTGACGTGTTGGTAGCGAACATACAGGAGGGTGCCTTCAAGGTCCTAGAGGCTGTAAAGAAGTCCGGTCACTTGAAGGGCACAGTGGTGAAAGAAATTAAGGACGCCGTCGCTTCCATCCGCGCGGCGTCTGAATCTTTAGAGGGAAGGACTGCGTCAACTGAGTGCGCAGCATTACGAAGAGAGAACTCCCGGTTGTCGCGAGACTTGGCGGACATGCGGGAAATGATGACTGCCATGAGGGAGGAGTCCGCCAAGTACTACGTGGAACTGAGGGAGTTAAAGAAGAAGACCATGGGGTCCGCCGCTCAGGGCATGGAGGAGCTGGCGATGCTCAAGGCGGAAAGGGTGGAGTGGGAGCGAGAAATCACCGCGACCCGCAACTCCTATCAAGAGCTGATTAAAAGGAGCACGGACGATCGTGTAGCGCTCACCACGCTACAAAATGAACTGGAGGTAACCAAAGCCGCACTGGCAAAACAGCCACAAAGTGCGGCCATGGACGTGACATCCGGCGCTCAAGGTGTTGAGTCGAGCGAAACGCCACCCATCACCGAGAGCGCCGAGGCAAGAATAGTCCGTCAAATCGGGGACATTTTTAATGCCCGGTTTGAGAAAATCGAAGAGCTTATGGGCAGGCAGAACAACCCGCCGCCCAAACGGCCCACGGTCACACCCCGAACACCTGGGGCGGCCAAGAAAGGGGGAAGTGCGGCTTCTGTTGCCAGCACCAGTGGGGCGGGACTGAGTGCTTCTCAGCCGGCTCCCACTAACAAGGAACAATGGACGACGGTCGTCCGGCGTGGGAAACGTGCGAAGGGCAAGGAGTCAGCCCCAGCCCCAGCCACCCAGGCGCCCACTGCAGGGGCGAGACCATCCCAAAAGGAGGCCACACAGAAGGCGCCTAACGAGGCCGCCAAGAAAAATAACGCGAGAAGGAGGCAGTTCCGACCCCCGCGATCCTCGGCGATAGTGCTAACGCTACAGCCGGGGGCCGCGGAGGCGGGATCAAGTTACAGCTCGGTGCTCCGAGAGGCGCAACAAAACATCCGGTTGGATGCCCTCGGAATCACCGAGCTGGGCTTTAGACTGGCGGTCACAGGGTCCCGCATACTTGAAGTGCCGGGACCAGTGGAGGAAAGCGGCGGAAAGGCGGATGCCCTCGCCGCCAAGCTGTCGGAGATCCTGCCGGCAGATGTAGTTGCCGTCACCAGGCCGGTCAAGTCCGCGGAGTTCCGCGTCTTGGACCTGGACGACGCCACTGCCACAGCAGACGTGGTGACAGCCGTAGCGCGTGAGGGAGACTGCGCCGAGGCCTCCGTGAAAACGGGGGAGATCCGGCGCTCTCCCTCAGGGAGTGGCTCCGTCTGGGTCCGAGCCCCGATAGGAGCAGTGAAGCGGCTGGTGGATGCCGGCAAACTCAAGGTGGGGTGGACAATGGCACGGGTGCGGTCCTTGGATCCCCGGCCGATGCGGTGCTACCGCTGCCTGCTCACGGGTCACGTGGGCCAGCGGTGCACCGCCAAGGAGAACCGCGGCGGAGCTTGCTTCCGTTGCGGACAAGACGGCCATAAGGCCGCAACGTGCACCGCCCCTTCGCCGCATTGCCCGTATTGTGCAGCGGCGAAGAGGAAGGCGGACCACAAAATTGGGAGCACCAAAGGGTGCCGTCCGCCCAAACAGGCGGCGAGAGTGGAGGCGATGGAGGCCGAGTCCGGCCCGTCACCTCCCACCACGGGCCTCGCGGCAGCCGATGCGGGGGCGTCGGCTGTCACCTAAGGCGGGATGAGGCCAGGAGTAGGCGCGCGTGGTGTCCGCGCGTGCCACTCAGGAGTTGGGCTGAAGAGCCCGCGCTGCCGGGGTTTACGGTTGAATGTCTCGATCCCGTAACCCCGGCACCATAGCGCTCGGAGGACACCAAGGGGTTTTAGCCGGTAGGAGTCCGGCAGTACCCCCACGCTTCCCCCGGGGCGTGCGGGTCTCCATGACGGATTTCCCCTTGTAAAAAAAAAAAAAAAAAAAAAGGTTGATATGGGTGCTCCGGTGGATAGATCTCAGTGGGTTAATAGTGTCTAGTAAACAAACCGCCTTCTCCTTCCCTATAAATAGAAAATTAGCGCGATACGGAAATCTTGTTTGACGTCAGTCTTCTTGACGACGTGTCGCGTTGATGTCTTTTATAGGGCGGTAGAAGATAGTGGATTTTTGCTGGCCCTATCGCTGGGAGATATCTGCTGTCTGTGATTGGCGTTAGGGTGAGGAGTCCGAAGGACACTTGCCCCCACAAATTCGTTTAGGTCGCTCCACTTTTGGGGAAGTTGGTCATAGCTGGCAGTTGTAAATTACAACATAAGTTGTGTTCACAACTGTTAGTTGGCTGATCTCTCCCAAAGTGGTCTGCGGGTGGCTGTAATGGCCCCCGCACCTTCCCCCCCTCCCTTGGAGGACCCCCCCGTGGATTCGGGGGGAAATAACGAGAGTGTGGCTAAAAAAGCCAGTAAAGAAGTTATGCCTGAACTGGCTGTGTATTTGGGCCACAGGCTCGATATGGACGCTCTGAAGGGCGCAGAAGAGAGCATGGTGGGAAATACGGCTCAAGAGGTGGGAGGCCCTCGCACTCGCTCTCGCGCGAGCTCAGTAACGGGCAACCTTATTGAGTTTGTGCGACCGACAGAGACCTCAGTTGGTGGGCGCAAAAAGAGGCGCCTTGACAACGGAGTGGAGTATGACTCCGCAGACTCCGCGGCGAGCTCCATTGATATGGAAGTAACGGGGCTTACAGCGACGAAGGGGAAGACTCCCAAAGAAGGGAGACACTACGTGGGTTCCGGGGCCGCAAAGGCGGCTCTGACCAAAAATAGAAGGAAGGAGTTCCTCAGAGACCCAGGAAGCGACTCTGAAGGAGACGTCGATGCACAGCCTCGCACTACGGGATCTGGGATAAAGGCTGTTAGGGACCCCAATGATCCGGCAGAAGTCCACCTCCACAAGGTTCGCGAGGCGATGGTCGAGAAGACCATGGAGGTTTTAGGGGTGGTAAGAAAGTCCGGGAACCTGAAGGGGACCTGCCAGAAGCAAATAAAAAATGCGCTGGCTAGACTGACGTCTCTGGCAGAGTCCCTGGATGCGGATCTCATCCCGAGATCAGTGACGCCCCTTCTAAAAAGGAACTCAAATATTGAGTCGGAGCTTCACAAACTTCGGAAGGAGAATGAAGAGCTTAGGGCCAGGATAGCCGCAGCTCCCCCTCCGGAGAACTTGAGGCCGACCCCGGCGTACAATCACGGGGCAAATCCCAAGAGAGGGAATGACTGGGACACATTCAGGTCCCAGATCATGGAGGATGTGGGCCGCATGATGCAGCGGCAAACCGCCGAGCTCATGCGGCAGGTGAGAAGTATGGTTGCCCCGCAACCGGTGGAGGTGGACACGGATGACCATGTCCCCGATTATGTTTACCGGCCCCCACTTCAGAATGGGGATCAAATAGAGGCCTACCGCCAGCAGGGCAACATAAGGCCAGGAGTGGTCCCGCAACCTAGCGGAAGTAAGGCGTCACAGACGGCGTCACGTAGAAAAGGGGCGAAGGCCGGACAGTCCCAGCCTAACCCGCCTAAAAAGACTGGTCCGGCGGCTGCAACTCAGCAGCCTGCTGCGGCGGTGGACACATGGGCCACCGTTGTAAGGAGGAATGGGCGTACTACCAGTGTCCCGGAGGCGAAGGCTGGGCCATCTGGAGCCCAAACAAACAAGGGCGGGTCACAGCCGAAATCCCAATCCCAAAAGAAAGGGGCCCCGTCCCCAAGCAAGTTGCGAGCTCCCCGCTCTGCAGCTGTGATTCTCGCCATCCCGCAAGAAGCGGAAAAGGCGGGAACCAGCTACGCCGGTATCCTCAGGGAGGCTAAAGCAAAAATAGACTTAGCCTCCCTAGGAATAGAGGAGCTCCGATTTAAATCGGCAGCAACTGGTGCGAGGATACTGGAGATACCAGGATCCCAGAGCGGGGACAAGGCAGATGCCCTTGCACGAAAGCTGCGAGAGGTCCTCGGGGAGAACCCGGTACAGGTCTCCAGGCCCACCAAGACCGCAGAGATGCGGATAATGGGTCTGGATGACTCTGTCACCCCAGGGGACATCGCAGATGCGGTGGCACGGGATGGGGAATGCTCACCTGACGAGGTTAAGGCTGGGGAAATCCGCCTTAACCCCTCGGGACTGGGCACATGTTGGGTGCGGGCGCCGATAATGGTGGTTAAGAAAATCACCACGGCAGCCCGCATCAAGGTGGGTTGGGTGTCGGCCCCGGTCGAACTGCTGAAGCAGAGGCCGCTGAGGTGCTTCAAGTGCCTCCAGACCGGCCATGTCAGGTTGCGGTGCCCGCACGAGGGGGACCGCAGTGGCCTCTGCTTCAAATGCAGCAAACCAGGCCACAAAGCCGCCGGCTGCACAGCCGCCCCGAGTTGCGCCATCTGCCGCGAGGCAGGCAAGCCGGCGGACCATTGGATGGGTAGCAAAAATTGCTCCCCAGGCAGGCAACATGCCAAGAAGGGGCCGGCACCTGCAGCACCTGCGACCGCCGCCGTCCCGACTACGAATAGTTGGGCCGGGCTGGTAGAGGAGATGGAGTTGTCATAATGGCCCTCCATCTCCTACAGGCGAACCTTAACCACACCGCCGCGGCGCAGGACCTCCTCCTGCAATCTGCGGCGGAGTGGCAGGCAGACCTGGCGGTAGTCGCCGAACCATACAGAGTTCCGTCCTCTGACAACTGGTTCGGCGACTACGACGGTCTTGTGGCCGTCATTCGTACAGGGGGGAGTTCTGCCTCCCCTCTCTGCTCGCCTCTTTTTAGGGGCTCAGGGTACGTAGGTGTGAGTTGGGGGGAAATCGCCGTCGTCGGAGTGTACTTCTCTCCCAATAGGACTCTCGCCGAGTTCGAGGAATACTTGGACGGGCTGGGAATTGCAATCAGTGTTATGCACCCAGCCCGTTCCGTGCTCGTCATGGGGGACCTCAATGCCAAGTCTACGGCTTGGGGCTCCCCCACCACGACGATACGAGGCGAGGTCCTAGAGGACTGGGCGGTGGCGTCCGGCCTTACAATCCTAAACGTGGGGTCGGTCGCCACTTGTGTGCGATGGCAGGGGGAGTCTATAGTGGACATCTCCCTTGCCAGTCCAGCCATCGCGCATAGGGTGCGGGGCTGGCAGGTGATGGACGAGGTGGAGAACCTGTCGGACCATCGCTACATAAGGTTCGACATTCTCCCCTCGTCCGGAGCTCCGCACCCGGACCGCTCAGAGAGTGACACTTCGGCGTTCCCCAAATGGGCATCGAGACGTCTTAAAAAAGACGTGCTGGTGGAAGCTTCCATAGTCCAGGCCTGGTTTCAAATACCATCCAGGCCTGTGGAGGTTGAGGAGGAGGCCAATTGGCTCGGGGGTGCCATGACCCGCATCTGTGATGCGGCCATGCCCCGGGCCCGCCCCCCCCCACCAAGGCGTCAGGTGTACTGGTGGTCTGAAGAGATAGCGGCCGTGCGAGTGGAGAGCATGGCCGCTAGACGCCAGTATACCAGGCACCGCCGACTCAGGCGGGGCCGTGACGCCGCTATGGAAGCAGAGCTGCGGGCGCACTACAGCGAGAAGAAGAAAGCGCTGCAGCTCGCCATCAGCAGGGCCAAAGAAAGAGCCAGGGAGGAACTCCTGGAGACTCTTAAAAGAGATCCATGGGGGCGCCCATATAGGAGTGCAAGGGGCAAACTTCGCCCTTGGGCGCCTCCCGTGGCAGAGAGTCTCCAGCCCCAACAATTGGAGGGGGTGTTGACAGCTCTGTTCCCAGAGCAGTCAGAGTTCACACCCCCTCCTATGGTGCCGCGCAGCCGTCAAATTGAGGAAGACGGCGGCGGCACCCAAGGGGAAGTTGGGGTTCCATCGATAACGACGGAAGAGTTCTCCGCGGCCGTGGACAAGCTCCGGGGCCAGAAAACTGCCCCGGGGCCTGATGGTGTTCCCGGCCGGGCTCTGTATTTGGCCCTAGGTGCCCTTGGGGACCGACTCCTTAGCCTCTTCAATGAGTGCATGGAGTCGGGGCGATTTCCCAAGAAGTGGAAGACGGGCAGAGTAGTCCTGCTCCGCAAGGAGGGGCGCCCTGCGGATTCCGTATCTCCCTCGGCGTTCCGCCCGATTGTCCTTCTTGACGAGGTCGGCAAACTATTCGAGAGGATAATAGTACGCCGCCTCGTCAAGCACTTGGTTCAGGTAGGCCCTGATCTATCCCCGAACCAATTCGGGTTCCGAGGGGGCCGATCCACGATCGATGCGATCTCACAGGTTCGTGCCCTCTCGGATGAGGTGGTATCCCAAAGGGGGGTGTTGTTGGCGGTGTCTCTCGACATCAAAAACGCCTTCAACACCCTCCCCTTCGACTGTGTTAGGGAGGCACTCAAATATCATCAAGTGCCTCCCTACCTTCGGGAGGTGATCGGGGCCTACTTCCAGGACAGGAAAATTGTGTGTATCGGGCGGAACGGCACAGTGATCGAGAGGGAGATGCAGCGCGGTGTTCCACAGGGATCGGTTCTGGGTCCGGTCCTGTGGAACATCGGGTATGACTGGAATCTGCGGGGCGCCTTGCTCGACGGGACCAGCGTAGTCTGCTATGCGGACGACACGCTGGTAACGTCCCGCGGGCGGGACTACAGGGAGGCTGCCCGTCTTGCTACCGCCAGTGTGGCACTTGTCGTCGGCAGGATCACGAGGTTAGGGCTCCAGGTGGCGCTCGAGAAGTCGGAGGTCCTTTGTTTCCATGGGCCCCGACGAGCGCCGCCACCAGGAGCCCATATCGTGGTCAGCGGTCATAGGCTCGAGGTCAAGCCACATATTAGGTACTTAGGGCTTGACCTCGATAGTCGCTGGGGTTTCCGGTTCCACTTCAAGAACCTGGCTCCCCGTCTTATGGCGGCGGCTGGCGCTTTAAGCTGGCTGCTGCCTAACATCGGGGGGCCGGGGGACAATTGTCGCCGCCTCTACATGGGTGTGGTACAATCGATGGCCCTATACGGGGCCCCTATATGGCATGGGGCCCTGTCCAGGGAGAATATGGCCTTGCTCCTGCGTCCGCAGCGAGCAATGGCCATAAGGGTCATCAGAGGGTACCGCACCGTCTCGAGAGAGGCGGCGTGCTTGCTCGCGGGCTCCCCGCCTTGGGACCTCGTAGCGGATTCCCGTGCGTCCTTGTATAAGTGGCGCGCGGACGAAAGGGCCCAAGGAAGGGAGCCCTCCGGAGTGGAACTAGGGGAACGGAGATCCCACCTTCGACGTGTCCTCAGGGAAAAGTGGGAAGAAAGGCTGGCCAACCCTACGGCCGGCCTGAGGACCGTCGAGGCTGTCCGTCCAGTTCTTAAAGAATGGATGGGCAGGCGGCGATGGCCGCTGACATATCGGCTTACGCAGGTGCTGTCCGGACATGGGTGCTTCGGACGGTACCTGTGTAACGTCGCACGGAGGGAGCCGACGACAATGTGCCATCAGTGCGGATGCGACCAAGACACGGCGCAGCACGTTCTGGAGGAGTGCCCTGCATTCGCAGAGGAGCGCCGCGTCTTGGTCGCGGAAGTGGGGGCCGACCTCTCGCTGCCGAATTTAGTTCGGGCAATGGTTAGGAGCGAGGGGTCGTGGCTGGCAGTACTCACCTTCTGCGAAGAAGTTATTTCGCAGAAGGAGGCGGCGGAGAGGGACCGGGAGTATGATCCTTCCGCCCCAATGATCCGCCGCCGGAGGACCAGGCGTAGACGTCGGGACGAGCCCAACTCCGTCCCGAGTCTACCCCCCACGGGGGCCGGGGTGCATGCCTTGAGGGAGGCATCACCCCACAACCAGGCCCCTGGAGGCGCGCGCGTGTACCCACGCGCCTCCACGAGAAGGTAGGGTGCAAGTCATAGCACCCTAACCAGAGAGAGGGGGCCTGTCCTACAACATCTACAGGACAGGCCAAGCCGCCGAAGTCTGGGTTGAGTGCCAAGTGCGATCCCCGGACTTCGGCCCACGGCACCTCGAGGTATACCGTGTGGTTTTTTAGTGGGTACGAGTCCCACACACCACCTCGCCATCCCTCCGGCGGGGTGACGGTCTTTTGAAGATTTTTCCACACGTTAAAAAAAAAAAAAAAAAAAAAAAGGTTCCGCCGGCAGTGGGGCGTGTGTCGGGCAACCTCCAAGTATGGGCCATCCATTGGGAGGCTTCCCCATCCTCGTGGATACGTCCGCGGGGAACGGTGGCCGAGCAATGGTTTGGTTCTGGTACGCCCTGGGCGGGATAGTAGACGTTCCTTCGGGATACTGCTACTATGTCGGCCGATAGTCCGGCGAGTAGGAGTAGGCAAATCTTTCTCTTCTACTTTGTCTGTCTTCGTCTTTTCTTTTCTTTGTCTTTTTCTTTTCTCTCTTTCTGTTTTCTTTTCGTTTTTCTTCTTTGCCTACTGGCAAGTCAGGTCCGGTGGGTGCTTAACTGCGCAGCCGGACAGCACTTCGGTGCAACTGGCTTCAAACCGTAAACCTGCTCTGGGTGTCGGTGATCACGTCTATCGGCCCAGTGTAGGAGCGGGGGCTCTTGGCTTAATTGCCCGGGGCCGCGAGGAGTCAACCTCTATAAAAAACCTCTTGTCTAAGCTCGGTGCCTGGCGAGGGACAGGTCGTCACGCGGAGCACGCTTCTGGGAATTCCTTTCAGTTAGCGTGTTCCCCGGGGCGGCCGGGTCGGAGGAGTAACTCCGGCCGCAAGGGCACCAACCTTTGGGCACCAGCCGCACCCAAAGTGTATTAGGCCGCAGTCGGTAGCAGGGGGCAACGCCGGCTGTGCAACCTTTCCCCCACACTCGTGGGAACAAATATGGATGCTAAAAACACAAAAACCGATGTTGGGTCCGTGAAGGACGGTGAGATGGCAGTGTCCGCGAAGGACGGAGTTCAGAAGGGGTCCGAGAAGGACGGTGGAAAGAAGGTGGTGAGACCAGATGCTCTCCTTAGGAGATGCTCTGTGATACTGGAACGCGGAGAACCCAGAAAATCAGGGGATATGTCGTGGAGTACAGAGAGCCTCCCAACGGCCTGTACCAGTCGCCAGGTTAGTGCGGCAGACCTAGAGTACTGGTCGATGTCGGAGGTCTCCAGTGTCGATGGAGACACATTACCGAGGAGGACACGGTCCAGGGTTGTGCAGGGGATCGACTGCGGGTCTTCGCGGTCGAGCTCGTGCACAACTCTGAGGGACTTGGACGAGATGGAGTTCGAGGAGCCTGCGCCGCCTGGACGTAAGAGGCGCCTTTCAGACGAGACGAGTGGTAGAGCACCCAAGGCGAAGAGCCGGAACACCGGCACCAAGTCGAAGGTGCTCCCACAACAAAATCCCGGACGTGACGAATTCCGATATGAATTCTTTGAAGGAGGAAAGACATCAGCTGGCAAATCCAAAGCAGGTCCCTCAAAGACGGCGGCACGGAGGAAAGACGTCGCCCTACTGGATCCCCCTACATCGCCAGCCGGGGAGGTGGTTAGGAGGGTTAGGTTGGCCGTCCTGGAACATACGGAGGACATGGAGGACATCATCCGGAGGTCAGCGAACCTGAAGGGCACCTTCA